CAATTCTGTATGGGGATACATACAAGATAAAGTTTAGGATACAAAAGCGGTACCTAAAACTTGTGCAACAAGTCTAGGGTGCACAAATACCTAACAAAATGATTCTTGATGTTTGCAATTCCATTGCTTTGCTTTATCAGCAGTGCCTGGGCCAGAATGATCATCAGTTTGAAAACAGGCATTGACAAGAAAATGATTCAGTTCTATAGATTCTTTTAAATTTTGAAAATGAACTTAACGTTCATAAACATTTTATAATCATTCAAAGCGTGTATACATTTGGGGGGCCACCCTGCATCTTATTTGGATTGTCTGTCATTGCCTTTATTAAACTATACAGAACAAAAGGATCATCCATGTTTCTGAACATAGTGAAATGTTGCATTTCTATAGTTCTTTACAGCTCATTGGTATATTTATGAATTGTCTTCTCCTCCCACCATATATATATATATATATACAACCTTTTTTTCACCTTTGGAACATAGTTTACTGACCATTTCTGAAGCCTCCATGTGCACCCTGGAGGGCCTGTGGTCAACTTAGTCCATAGTCAACCCATGTCCACCGACACCAAGCTAATGGGAGGTGGATCTATTTGAAGCAGTGGTTCCCAACCTTGGCTGCACATTAGAATCGCCTGGGAATCTTTTTAAAATCCTGATTTCGGGGCCTCATCCTCCGGAAATTCTGTTTCTTTGTTATGGGGGTGGGGCCACAACCTCATAACAAAGAAACAGAATTTCCGGAGGATGAGGCCGGGAAATCAGGATTTTAAAGATTCCCAGGCGATTCTAATGTGCAGCCAAGGTTGAGAACCACTGATTTGAAGGGTCCAGGCTAGGCCCCAGACTGAGCAACTGCAGCTCGAAGCGCACACAGGTGCTGCGGGTAGGTTGGTGGGAGGCGGGGCCCCGCCCAGGGCTTCACGTGCAGCGCTCCAGTGCGTGGCGGTCCACTGGCTGCGTTTACACAGCACAAGCCACAGGGAGCCGGAGCGCAGCATTGGGTGCCACTCCTGTTTGCAGACAATGACTTCTTCGCAGGAGCCTAGAAACGTGCGAGGCTGGTGGCCACCGGAATTTTTGCCCCCGAAGTGGGTGACCTCTCCGTGGCCACAGTACACACCCACGTGGGCCCGCACCGACATCCGGTAGCTACAGCAGCTTGAACAGGAAGAGGTCTCCAGGCTCGGGGTCGCTGTCCTCCAATTCCAGGGCCTCGCAGTGCTGAGCCAGGAAAGCCTCGGAGGGGAAGGATTTAACGGTACTGATGCCCCAGTCTAGGCCTGGGTTGAGCTGAAGTCCTGAGAAGACAGGACAAGCTGCAGACTTCTGCTCCAGGGACCTGGCATGCGAAGCTCATTCAGTGTCAGAGGAAGCATTATCCCGCTGACACCTTTTTGGATTTCTAACCTCTAGACCTCCAGTCCGCTGTCCCTACTTTCGACCCCCATGGGTCTATAGGCGCCTCAGAGTGAGCCCCACCCGTCTCTTCCCGAAGTACCTCCATGCATCCCTATGCAGACATTTGAATTATTTTCGCAACAGGTTTTTGTGAATTTGCATGATTCCAGCCTCTTAGTCTAGCAATTCCTTTTGCATTTGACATTTCATACTTTAATAGAAATTGTTCTAGAATTCAGTTAATCTTCTCATTTTAATTTGGAAAATACTTTGGGAATAAAGTACCAAATGGAGCATGAATACATTTTTTAAATGTACTGATAGTTTCCTTTTCATGAACGCAGCCCGCAGCTTTGCAATGCAGTTTGATTTTTTTGTATGCCGAATTTCGAAAGCTACGAGGTGGCTAAATTCTGCTTTTTTTTCCCCCTCCTGCCATCCCCTAAGAGAAGTAAAAACCTTCAGAAAGCCATGCATCAAGTGCAACACAAGAAGGACTACCAAAAAGATTCATGCTGAAATCTTTACGTTAAAGGAAAACACACCAGTTGTTCTTTTTTATTTTGGGGCAATTTGATTCATTGCTTGCAGCAATTTCTAACTTTACAGACTAAACATTTCTAATTGGGAAATGGATGGCTTGAATCTGAGATGGTGATTCAGGATATAAACTTTTCAACTAGGTGTAATTATTTTTGAGTAGTTGGCAGATTACTGCTGACCAGCCCTTGTTTTGCCTTTGAGGAAAGAATGAAAATTAATATACACATTTCACACTTCATTGAAATGAAATACTTAGCCTGACATAGCTAAGGCCATGAGACAGATATTTGCCATGCTTATTTGTTCACATCAAGTGTATTAAAGGTTTACTTATTTTGATGGATGAGGAAACCAATAGCAGTAAATTTATGTGTTTTCAACTGGGGAAATGAGGCAATAAAAATACCTACTTCTTAGGTAAGTAACTGTGAGGATTAAATGGGAAAATCACATAAAAGGTTCAGCAGTGCATCTGGCTCGCAGTAATCAGTCAGGAAATGTTAGCTCTTGTTGTTTATTGTCATCGTTACTTTTTATTCATTCCTATTCAGTGGAATAGCTTTCGTTATATAATGTTAGGCTTCAGATTTTACAACTTCCTGATGGTTAGCCTGTGAGATATGTCAATAATTTGAATCAATTTATAAGCCGTATTTTGCTTTAAATGCTTTAAATGTTGGAATTATTTCATGAGGACTGAAATCCCCTTTTAAAAGTTCATAACCTCTCCCAGTGGCTTGCGCCATCTTTTAATTATTCTACAAATTAATGATATAGTTTTTCTTTTTTCCAATCAAACATTTTCTTTGGTTTTAATCTTTGGGGCCTGGGGGTTAGATATAGATAACTTGTCATAATGTACCTGATGTACTTGTCCTTATAAACAGTCCTGTTTTTGAATAATTTAATACTTCTTCATTTGATCTATTCCCTTTGAATTTGAAGGATAAACTGTTTCTTAACGTTAGGTTTTTGTTGATATTGTTGTTTATGTGTTTGTTTTAAGATAATTTTTTTAAATCACAAAGTTATTATTCAATACACTTGGGTCCCAAGTACTAAAAACTGGTAACTTCATGGTGTGGAAAGTTAGTATAACATCTCAAAATGCCAGCCCTCACCCGGAAAATAACTGCATGGGTCATATAATCTGGCCTGTTGTTGCTAGTTTCACTAGTTTACCAATAGACAGGTTAATTTTAATTAATTATTTACTTAGTTTAATTAGTTATTGCTTATTTTAAATTGGTAAATGGACCAGCGATTTCTATTTCAAGTCTATCTGCGTAATGATTATATAAAACTAGAGGCACAGAATTTGTGCACGGGTAGGGTCTCTAGGCCTGGCCGGCAATCAGGGCCGATCTGTGGGGGGACTGGCAGGGCGATCAGGGCCCCTTCCCCACCCCCCCCAGCTGGAACCCGCCTTGGCTAGCCTGGGGCCTTTGGCTGGGGGCAGCTCCTGCATTTAGCATCTGCCCCCTGGTGGTCAGTGCGTGTCATAACGACCAGTCATTCCACCAGTCGTTCTGCTGTTTGGTTGATTTGCATATTAGGCTTTTATTATATAGGATAATTTTACATAGTATAACAAACTTTTCCTTCTTACTAAATGCTGAGTCCCTGGAGGTGAGAGATGGTATCATTTCCACGCACATACCATTACAATGTTACACCCTGGAGCTGACCTCACACATAGTAAGCATTCAATAAATGCCTGTGGGTGACTTCATTTGAATATCTCATAGGAACCTCAAATGACATATTTAAAACTGAACTTAAGGTTTATCCTCCAGAGGGGGAGGGCTTCTGTGCTTCCCATCTCAGTGAGGGCCCACCTCCCCACAAGGGGCTATACCAGAAGTCCCTTCTCTCTCTCTTACTCTCACATTCAGTCACCAAGTCCTGTGGGTTCTACTTCCTAAAAATGTCCCAGTTCCCTGCAACTCCAATGTTGTTTCCTTCGTTCACCCCAAGTCATGTCTTACCTGATCTCCCTCTAAGAGTCTCCTCCTTCAGGTCACTCTCCCCTGCAGCCAGAATGATCTATCTGGTGTCACTGCACCCTGTCCGAGGTCTCCCTTATCCTTGGATGAAGTTCACAAATTTTGCAGTGGCCTGTATAACTCATGATATGCCCGCTGTCTCTTTTTCCCACTGAATTGAGTTGAGCCTCCTAAGTGCCCGGCCCTCCCTCATCTTCAGTTTCCTCTGCTTGGAATGTTCTCCTCCCTCTCCTATCCCTTTTGCTGCCCTGTTTTACAAATGCACCATGTTGCTATTTGTTTTTCTATTGTGGTCTCTTCCTCTCAGTAATACCAGGTTCATTTTCTCTAACACTGACTTCCAAACAGTTTTACGCTATTTTTTGCACACCTATGTAGAAATAGCTGGTTTACAGAAATAGCTGTCAAATAACTAGTTTTGTTTCTATGCAGCAGGTAGGGAAACTGAAGCACTAAATATACAAAATATATGTCATAATTACTAAATTACAAGTATCTTAAAGGGCAGGGACAGGAACTAGATCTGTGCTTTACGTCCAGTTTTGCACAGTGCCTGGGATAGAGTATTCAGTGCACATTGAATGAATCTCAGTTTGAGCCTAAGGTGCTTCTCTCTTGAGTCAATGAAGCTTCTGTTTCATAATTTATGCTCTGGGACCAATGAGGCCAGATTCCACTGTGAGCCTTCTTCTTCCAGAAGGGAAATATGCCTGATGAGAGAGCCTGGAAGCCCGTGTTGCTTTGAGTTGTTCTGGTAGATTCCTTTAATGTTAGTTGGCATGGATGAGAAGGGCTTTTGTTGTGGTGGCAATTAATGATGATTTGCACATTATAGTAATTTACAAAACAGTGGCCACCCTGCACCACATAAGAAACACCTCTCTCTCCTGGACCATGAAATCTGATGGCCCATTTATTTGAATACATGATTGTTATGCATGTTTCAGCCCTGGTGACAACTGGTCCCAAATGGCTGCTGTTCTGAAAGGAATTCTGTTTGGGTCATTCTAATGCATCTCTAATTTGGATTTTTTTTTCCTTCTAGGGTGTTCATCAGAAAAAATGGTTATTTCTTTGAACACATACCTGGGATTTCTCTGTTTATTATTATGCCACTGGATAAAGACAGCATCACCTCTCAATCTTGAAGACCCTAATGTGTGTAGCCACTGGGAAAGGTAATAGCTCTGAAAGTAATCTTAGAAATAATTTCTGATACATTTCTTTATATACTGTCATCCTCAGTCTGATATATAAAGTTAGAATTTGACAAGAGATTGTAAAGTTACTTTTGTGTAAAAATCATTAGTTGTAGCTAATAAATCAGAAAGTATTATTCATCTTGGTCTTATAGAATATATATAATGTGAAAAAAAACCTCGATATATTGATTCTTACACAGGTGCGATTATAAGATTGTAAGAGTCAGGGAAAACGTTACATTAATCGTTCAATTAAAATGAACTCCCTAAGATCATGTCCCTGCTCTGACTTTATTTACAATAAGTTGGGGGAGTTGGACTTCTGTATGGGAACCAATGAATGAGCAGTGGAAGACAGTGTATAATAATGTACTTGAAATGTATGGCAAAAAAAAAATTGTGCTATAGGTGGCCTAAAAGGGAGACATACTTTCTGGGGACACTGGTAAAGCTACCTGGAGGTGGTGTTACCTAAGATGTTTCTGAAGAGCTGACATGAGTGGGTGGCAGTGATTGGGAGGGGTTCTAGGAATGGAAGGTGGCCTGACGCCAGTGCCATGCAGACCTCTAGGGGCTGTGCCCAGCAAGATTATGGTCAGTACATCCCTGCTGGCATGGCTCAGTCATTGAGCATCGAGCTCACGGTTTGATTCCCAGTCAGGGTGCATGCCCTGCATGCCCGGGTTGCAGGCTCGATCCACAGTGGGGGACATGCATGAGGCAGCTGATCAATGATGCTCTCTCATCATTGATGTTTCTATCTCTCCCTCTCTTTCCTCTTTGAAATAAATAAACATATATTTAAAAAATAAAAAAATATATTTTAAAAAGGCTCGAGTCATTACAGTTCTGGAGGAGGACAAGACTGAATAGATTATATGAGAGCAGATGATGTCGTGTCCAGATCTGGGCAATGTGCAGTAGGAAATACAGAGGAAGTACAAAACAATTGGCTGTTCTCGGGGATCTTATGGTCCCTTTCGGAACACAAAATTAGCACAAGCCATGTGAAAGTGCAGTACAATCATATGCAGTCTCCTGAGCTCTGATGTGCTACTTGCATGGCTAAGAAAGATTCTTTATCCAGAAATAACATTGCAAATGCAAGTTTTTCAGACAAACAGGAGGTGTCAAGTACTAGAGAGTAATATGTGTTTTATTATCTGTAAGTGCATTGACATAAGCTTTTTGGTCTCCTTTTTGCTGTCACCATTAGCACCGTGATTACTCCCCCACAGAGCACACACTCTAATCACCCACTGACTGGTAGGATGCACAAAGCACAGAGCCTGTCCAGCGTAGCAGCTCTGCTTTTCTAGGGCACACTGGCTCCTCACTCACAGCATTATTTTTCAGTGAGGGCTCGTTCCCACCTCCATTGGCAGTATTGCAATCAAGATAACAAAAATATATTTCCCTTATCTATCAATAGAGCTATATATCACTATGAAACTTTAAGCTGTAGAGGAAATATGTATATGTAATAAAGTTCTTTTGTTTGTGATATTAACTATATCATACAGAATGTAAGAGGAGGGACCTGTGTATCATCTTTATAATCGTTACAGCCCGTTTCATAAAACATTTCACTAACAAAGTATATAATATTTATTAAAGTAATAAAAATACATCTCAAATTTAGAAAAGGGAGAGTCCACTTGTGGTTGAACTTCTTGGAGGATAATAGCTTTGGAATGGGAGGAAGAACAAAGTTGTAAGATACCATGAAATAAAAATCATCAGGTCTTGGTAAAACATTGACTATAGGATGTGAAGGAAGCAGAAAAGGCTGAGGTTTCGAACCTGCTGTGTAGGAGTGGCGGTGTCATTGCACATGTGGAAAGATAAAAGGAAGAGAGCTGACTTGAGAGGGAAGGGACTCACGTGGTTTGCTCTGTTGTGTTCATAAGATCAATTTGAAATATGGGCCTGGAAGTGTGTGGGAATGTGGGTGTGGGAGCATGATGAAATGTGAACAGACGAGTGCTCCAAGGGAAAGACTATCAAGAGAAAAGAATCCAAGACTTCAAATAGCCCAGCACCCACTCAAATGTACACATTTTGTCCTGATTCCTTGCTCAGTATCTGACCAAATTTGCCAACACTAACTTGCATTGTTTTATTCACCACAGATGATCCCAAGTGTCTAAAACACTGCCTTCAATTAATAATTGTCGAAGGAGCTTTCACCTTCTGATGGGAGATGACTAATAATGAACATCAATTGGGAGGGAGGAGAGAGAGAGGCAGAAAGACAAGGGGCACATTCATTTTTAAATGCAATATACTTCCACTGTTGCACAAGTAATTAGAATAACCGCTAACATGGTCACTAATGGATCGGGAAGTTGAGCATGAAAAAATTGGGAAATGATGGCGATTTTTTCCTGACTCTCTTTTTTCTATATTAAATGAACTGCTAGAAAGACGGATTGACAGCTATAATCTTCTTATTGATAGATATCCTGTTACAAAGCTAGTAATGATTCTTTGAAGAAAGGAAAAGGAAAGTGGAATTACTTTGAGAAGCATGGAGAATGGAGGATAAATTAAAATGATCAAGTAAAGGTGCAGGTGACAGGTTCTTGTATATTTTCAAAAACTAAAATGGGCTTGAATGGAAAAGGGGAGAGGATGATTAGATAGAAACAAAAGTCTTAGTAGTAGGGCTGAAGAGGACTCATTGCGGGCTTTCCTTACACTAACACCCACCTGTACCCGATGGTTCGGAGCCGTGGAATCACCTGGAGGCTTGCTTCTCCGAGTGTGGTCTGCAGAGTTGCAGCCTGAGCATCACCTTGGAGCTTGTGGGAAATGTGGGGTCTCGAGCCCCACCCCAGACCTAGAAATGATTTATTTTCAAATAAAAGTATGCCTAATTTTAATGCAGCAATGCTGATTCTCAGAAGTTGTACTTAAAATGAAATTAAGAAAAATTAAATAATTTAAAACACACAAGGAGTATATGTTATCAAAGGAATTCTGCACAGCATCCTTTTGGAACATGAGTAATTCCAAGAATCACCTGTTCCTTCTCCCCATCCTCTCTTTCTGTTCTGTGAGTCTAAGTTCTTCCCTCTATTGGGGTTGCTCCTAAGGAAGGCACAAATGAAGAGAAGCTGTTCTTTGCCCAATGAACCCGTTGGGGGTGGAACACAGAACTGGTAGTAATTGAAGCAGCAATCCAAAACAAGTAGAGATAAGAAATGATGATTATTATCATATCTGATTTCAGTAACAAGATAACTTAAGCAGATAAAATGTAATTAACCACTTTGGAATGTGTCCAAGTGGTGATGGTTTATTTCCCCCGAGTTCTTTCACCTTAAAGTAAATCTTGCTGGGGTTTCTCCCCGGATAATACTTAATAGGTTAAAATCACAGAGATGATATGTTTTCAGTGTGTTGAGAAGGTTAAACAAACAAGCAGGAGATAAAGGCTTTTGCATCTGGATGCTTAAAATAGTGCAGGATTGAGATCAGATTCCGTTCATACCACAATTTGCCCCTCACTCTCTGCTTTACAAGCTTTAGATGTTCTAGTGACATTTGAAAGGAGACAGAGGGGCAGGAAGTGTCTGGGGGTCGAGATGTTAGTGCTCAGTCTAAAATACCCACTAGCACTGGGAGCTCATTTGTGATGAAAACGAGATTGGACTAGATCAACAATCTTCAACCTTTTCATCTCATGGCACATAAACTAATTACTAAAATTCTGCAGCACACCAAAAGATACATCTTTTGCTGATACAAAAAAAAAAAAGGTATAATTTTGATTCATTCACACCAGTGGCTATTGTTGTATTGGCTGTTGTCATTGTTTTACTTGACAGTCTAAGTAGCGGTTCTCAACCTGTGGGTCACAAACAATGAAAATACATCCTGCATATCAGATATTTACATTACAATTCATAACAGTAGCAAAATTACAGTTATGAAGGAGCAACGAAAGTAATTTTACAGTTGGGGGTTACCACAACATGAGGAACTGTATTAAAGGGTTGGGCATTAGGAAGGTTGAGAATTATTGGAAGGGAAAAGAGGTCAGTGCCCCTGACTAAGTAGTCAGGTATTACATGTTTTAAACATTCTTGCAGCTCACCACTTGAAAATAGCTGGACTAGACCAGTGATGGCGAACCTATGACACGTGTGTCAGAGGTGACACGTGAACTCATTTTTTTTGGTTGATTTTTCTTTGTTAAATGGCATTTAAATATATAAAATACATATCAAAAATATAAATCTTTGTTTTACTATGGTTGCAAATATCAAAAATTTTCTATATGTGACACGGCACCAGAGTTAAGTTAGGGTTTTTCAAAATGCTGACACGCCGAGCTCAAAAGGTTCGCCATCACTGGACTAGACCATCCTACTCTGCGACTTTTAGGGCAGCTGCTCCTGAATGTGAAAGTGTGGACTGTTAGCAGAGGTGCTGTTGAAGTTCCAACAGCAGCCTAGGTATTGGCCAGAGAAGCAGTGATAAAGACCGGAGGAGGCGGGCCAGTGATCAGGGACATTTCCCTTCATGGTACCAGGACACAGCTTCCAGAAAGTGGCCCCTGGAAAAGTGACAACTTGGTTGAATAACAGTAGATGGGTATTGAGTACATTTGGTGTAGGCACTTAGGCAGTATTTGGCAGTCAGAATTTGAAGACTATTTACTGACATGGAAAATCCTTATGACATATGCACACACACATACTCTTAAGTTTAAAAAATAGGTTCAAACTCAGGTGCATAGCATGACTATAAGAATATGAACAGAAAATACACTAAACTAAAACTAGAAACCCCTAGAGACAAGAGAAGTACAGTAAAATGCTATTGATTGTGATGGAAGAGTTATGGAATTCTTTCCTCTCTCTTTCTTAAAACTTATTTTCCAAATTTTGTAGTGTGACTATAATACTATTAAAAAAGAAAAAAGAAAGATTGTGTAGAAAAGAAAAAAATGTATATTAAAAAACAACAACAGAAGGGACAATAAATTTGGGTCAACAAAATTTAAAATCCTTCTTCTGTAAACTTAAGTGGGAGCCTCAGTTTCTGGCCAAATTGTAATTCATATTCAGTTAGTTATGAATTGAGTGTGAGCCTCTGAATAACTTTAATGCAAAGAATCAAGATCAAAGGGAAATACTCAAGTGAATTTTATAGTCCTTTTTACCCCAAACTGCCTACATGTCTCCATTAAAGCTGTATCCCATTATTTTTAGTATTTACAGACTGGACTTTCCTGAGGGCTCTTTGAGACCAGGAATTGCATAGAATTGGCTCAATAAGTATTTATTGAATTGGAATCCTAAAAGGCTTGATTTCCCTTTTATAGAGAAGAGCTTTTTTATATCCTCAAACCAGAGAGGCATCCTGCGGACGTATATTATTGGAGAGCAGCAAGTGGCAAGAAGAGGAAATTCCTGTACTTGCACATTTCCTCTGGTGTAAGCACTCTTCTAGGCCACTAGACATTAGTGGAAATATTTTTCATGTTTGCTTGTGGCATCAGTTCTCCAGGCCACATCAAATGGGAGGTATTTGGCCAGGATTGTTTGTTGACGTTTGCTCGAAGGCATTCAGACCTTAACAACATACCATGCCCTTGGAAATTTTAGGAAAACTGCATCAGGTCTAGTTCCAGCAAACTAATTTAGCTAAGCTAAATAGCTAAATAAATACGGTAGAGCCCAATAGAATGATCCCCCCACCCCCCACCCCCAACTGGCATTAATTTAGAGTGGTTTCTTTTTTATTACTGCAGCACCCATGGAAAGCTGCTCTGCTTTGCCCACGGACAATGTAGCACTGCACCTGTACAACAGCCCATACAGGGGGCGTTCACTCACTTTGCTCCTCACTTGCAGTGGAATGGAGAAACAATGCAGCAGGCCTCAAAATTTAGCTATTTACAAGCAGCTGGATAGGAAGGACAAAAAGCTGGCAAGAAGTCTCAGAGTCTGCATCTATCTGAACCTCAGGACACTGCTAGGGGTCTGAAGAAAATATCAATAGCTTAATGTGAAATTTCATTCTAAGAACATTTATAGTTTAACGGAGGTCTCTTGCTTTACCCAAAAGGAGTTACATTGCAGATGTAGGTCACTGCACACTGTAATCTCCTCCGAACCTGTTCTTGAAGGTAACATCAGGTGTCATCAACTTGAGTAAAAGGAAATAGTCATCTAAAATGTGTTAGAAGCTCAGAATGCCATGTGGGAAGGGATCTTCAGGCCATGCCTGCCGGGGTCCAACCCCAGCAGGTCCAGGGGTTCCCAAAGGCGTAGTCCGAGTCGGCGAAGAAGGAATGACACAGAGACAGCGTTCAGTTGATCAGCAGCCTAGCCAGGATCTCTAGCCAGGATCTCCAGCCAAGTTCTGGTCTGGATCTCCAGCGAAGTTCTGCTTAGGATCTCCAGCCAGGTTCTGTGTCCATGTTCTCTTGCTAGGTTCTCCAGGTTCTCCAGCCAGGTTCTGTAGCCATGTTCCCTCGCTAGGTTCTCCAGCCAGGTTCTGTCCAGGTTCTCCAGCCAGGTTCAGTTACCAGGTTCTAGTCAGGTTCTCTTGCCAATTTCTGTAGTCAGGTCCAGTCCAGGATCTTTTGCCATGTTCTCTCACTAGGTTCTGTCTCTAGGTTCTGAGGCCAGTTTCTGTCCAGGATCTTTTGCCATGTTCTCTCCAGCGAAGTTCTTCTGTCTCTAGAGAATGTTCTGTGTAGGTTCTGTGCTTCCTGGTTCTGTCTTCTTCTTCCTGTGTAGGTTCTGTCTTCTTAGTTCTGTGTTCTAAGCTCTGTATTCTAAGTTCTGAGTCTTGCTGTCTTATTACATCTGTATTTATACCAGTTGATTCAATCCTATCAATCTCTATTACAAAGGTTAGGGCGTTTATTATCTCCATTCCAGGGAGTAAAGATTATGTAGCTTAAGCATGATTGTTCATAGTTAAAGTGATTAATTACCCGCCTGGCACTTAGTTAAGAGGTTTTATTCCCTCCCTAACTTCAGGGGAAAATCCCTACCTGGGGAAACACCCTTTCTCAGAGACCTTGGTTAAAACACATAGTGCCAAGAAGGTGAGCAAACATATTAAGAACAGTATGCCATATATGCCAGGTCCCTTGAAACAGCAAGCATGGACCGGCTCCCGGCACATGCCTGACCTCATGGTTTTAAGATGTGAACATCAAAACCCAGGGAAGTGGGGTTATTTGCTGAAGGCCACCCAGTTTCCCAGTGTCAGATTGGAACCATCACACTGGCTTCTCATCCAGTGAGCTGTTCATAGGCCTATGGCAGCTGCCAAAGATTTGAGGAGGAACCCTAAATTTGCCTAGAAATCAAGTTGCAATGTCCCAAAGAATGAACACAAAGTATGAATAGTATGATTATTTCATGGGTGTCTATTGAAAGCCTAAGTACATAGAAACTGACAGACCAGCTGGGGAAAGAAAGGCCACTGTTGGTGGGGCCTGCACCACACAGCTTTTCAAACTAGGAGGTTCTGCTCTATATCTAATCTAAATTTTTTGTGCTGAAATTTTGACCTTGTTTTTTCTGTATCTTCTCCAGTTGATAGTATCTTTTAATGAACTTGGGCGATTGAGTTCGTGATTTCAGCTCATTTTGTTTGTTAGTGTGAACTAAAGATTGTAGTGGAAATCTTTAAGAGAATGTTAAAAGAAAATAAACTGTATGGAAAGGAGGATTCTTTAGATTTTCCTGTAGGCAGGAATTCAAAGCTCCTTTAAAATGAAGTATGGGACTGAACACTGGAAGTTCTTCATATTTCATGGGTGTTTTCCATCCACATTCTTAGGCCCATAGGACTGCATGCTTTTCCTTTAATTGGAAGTTGTTAGTGAAAATGTATTGGAAAACAGGCTGCCTAAATAGCAACAGTTCTGGATGATTATTTTAGGCTAATTGTCTCAGCCATATTTTTACTGGTTTTAGAGACTTCTTTGTAGTTTTTATTTAGAGGCTGTATATATTCTTCCACTGTCTGAGAAGTGGGGCAGGCACACAGAAGCAAATTATTCCAAGTTTCAATCCAGGAAATATGCTCTTCCTGATATTCCAGAGTCAATAGCAAAATGTACTGTTATAAATACCCAAACTGTCTCTTTGCCGATTACCTTTATTATCTACATGCAGACTTCGATTGAAAACTTTTATTGTGAAAGGTTTTGGTTATCCCTGGACCTGTGGGGTGAGGGGATGGAATGAAACACAGAAAAAAATATGGTGATATATTTTTAAATTTAGGAATATAAGAATTTATAGTGAATACTAAAAGAGACTTTCTTTTGAAATTTATAGCATGAAGTCTTGTCTTTTAAATATATTTTTAATTTTGGTTCTGGTTCAAATAAAAACCTGTAAAAACATGGAGAATCTAAGTCAGTATGGAATTGCGAATGGAGCTAATTTAGCCTATGGTTGCATGTTTGTTTGGTTTTTTACATAGTACATAATTAATGTAAGAAAGAGAACTATTGATTCTTTATGTTTCCTCTTCTCTTCAGCTACTCAGTAACTGTGCAAGAGTCGTACCCACATCCCTTTGACCAAATTTACTACACCAGCTGCACTGACATTCTGAACTGGTTTAAGTGTACACGGCACAGGTAATGAAAGCTTGGATATATTTGCGAGTTTGGCTAACTGGGAAGGAATTTGATAACAGTCATTAAATACTTTGCTTTTAATACCTTTATTCTATTTAATAACTCTTTGTATGGAAGTATAAATTATTTATTTCTAATCAAATATCAGGTCAAAAGAGGTAACAGTGTGCTTTTTCCCTCTATGTAGAATCAGTTATCGGACAGCCTATCGACATGGGGAGAAAACTATGTATAGGCGCAAATCACAGTGTTGTCCTGGATTTTATGAAAGCAGGGAAATGTGTGTCCGTAAGTAAGACTTTCACTTCTATGAGGTTTGCTTATTTTCCCAGTGCTGGCTTGCCGCTGTTCATGGCAGCAGAGATGGAGGCCTGGGGAGATAGGGCACTGTGACTCATTCCCTTTCACTTTCGGCTGCTGCTTCCTTGGTCTGTGTAAGGAGGGAAACATTTACTCTGTCCCTCTGTCCTATTAGATATCTCCAAATGAATGTCCCTCAAGAAGAAAATAGATGCTATAGATCAGGGGTCCTCAAACTTTTTAAACAGGGGGCCAGTTCACTGTCCCTCAGACCGTTGGAGGGCCGGACTATAGTTTAAAAAAAACTATGAATAAATTCCTATGCACACTGCACATATCTTATTTTGAAGTAAAAAAACAAAACGGGAACAAATACAATATTTGTATTTGCATGTGGCCCGCGGGCCGTAGTTTGAGGACCCCTGCTATAGATAGATGCTTCAAGGCCAGATACAGTAATGTTAATCACCGTTTTCAGTACATGTCTCTTTGGAAATGGGTCAAGGAGTTATTAGATTTAGGTCACAGAAGAGAACAGAGACAAAACTTTCCCACAGCAGCTGACCAGGGTCCTGAGTCAACTTCTGAGAGGCCAACATGTTTTTTGCTGGTGAAGAGAATGATGAGGTTTATTAAAAGTAGAGGAGCTTTCACAGTAAGAAGTGACTATAAGCCTGGGTCACAAAGTAGATCTTTTTTTATCATCATTTTCTCTCTTCCCTCCCCTCCCCATCTCACCAATTCATTCTGAGATGTCTTGAGAGAAGTTTGTTATTTGATGATACACTTTAGAAAATCCTAGACTATGACACGACATGCAGTTTACAGTTGAGGTTTCTTACCATTGTGCATAGGACATGCAGAAGAGAGATTTTAAAAACAATTTTATTCAAATATTTTGGGTCACCACACAGCTGGAGGGCACCTTTGCTTTCTGAGCTGAGACACTGGTGTTGAGTAGCAGAGAGAGAGAGAAGGTTCTGCTCTAATCTGAAGGCACTAGGAATGATCAGACACATCTGGACTTAAGAATCTGCAGTGCCGGGTGATAGTACCACTCAGCTGGGTGACCTCAGATAAGCCACTAATACCTCTCTGAGGCTCCTTTGAAAGAGAAGGCAGCAGGAAAAAAGGAAAACAAATATGATATGTACTGACTTCATAAAAGATGCCATAGCATGAATCTACAGGAGCTGAGCAGGGCTGTTCAGAATAGCACATGGACAACACTCATTCATAGAGTTGCCAGGAACTGAAGACAACTCAATGGCATGTAATACACACACACACGCACACACACACACACACACACACACACACACACACACACAGCTTGGATCAGTGTATGTGTTCTCTTCCTTCCAACCCCTGGATTTTATTCAAAGCCAACACTATATAGGATAATAAATGTTCATTGAAAAAAGTTAGAAAATGTAACTAAACAAAAAGAAGAAAATAAAAGCACATTGTGAATGCCTTTCCTGGTCAATAAATGTACTTCTGTAACATATTGTAAATGTCAGTGTTATTGCATTGTAAATATTTATTTAACCAACTTCAACTATTGGATATGTGTGATTTCTAAGTTTTACCTGTTATGAACTGACTTGCTCTAGAAGACATTATTGTAGTTAAGTCTTCGTTCATATCTTTAATTAATAGGTAAGGATAAATTCCTAGAAGTCAGAGGTATTTGGTATGTTTTCAATTTATACTCCCACCAGCAGTATATGAGAATGCTTTTTTGTTTATACCTTGTGCCATTTTTCTTTTTTGCTAATTTTCTTCTTAATTTGCATGCCTTTGATTAAAAATGCTGCTGAATAATGAAACATTTTAGAGAATAAGCATGAGCTGATATCTCTGGTCCAGGCTGATAGGACTTTTCAAAGGACAGCACTGAGTGCACACAGAGTGGATAGTGGAGAGGCCTGGCTGGCCCCGCTGGCCATCCTCAGAGGCTTTGGGGTGACATTATGTTGGTACCAAGACTGATGTCAAGGAGCTTACCACATGTTTGCCTCTAGAACAGTGGTTCTCAACCTTCTGGCCCTTTAAATACAGTTCCTCATGTTGTGACCCAACCATAAAATTATTTTCGTTGCTACTTCATAACTGTAATGTTGCTACTGTTATGAATCATAATGTAAATATCTGATATGCAGGATGGTCTTAGGCGACCCCTGTGAAAGGGTCATTCGACCACCAAAGGGGTCACGACCCACAGGTTGAGAACTGCTGCTCTAGAAGACTTATGATTTCAGGTCTTACATTCAGGTTGTTAATCCATTTTGAGTTGATTTTTGTGTATGGTGTAAGATAGAGATCAAGTTTTATTTTATGAATGTGACTGTCCAGTTTTCCCAACACTGTTTATTGGAGATCATATATGCATGGATTTATTTCTGGGCTCTGTATTCTGTTCCATTGATCTATGTGTCTGCTTTTATGCTAGTATCATTCTGCTTTGATTGCCATAGCTTTGTAATATAGTTTGAAATCAGGAAGTGTGATGCCGTCATCTTTGTTCTTTCTCAAGACTGCTTTGGTTATTAGTGTTCATTTATGGGTCACACAAATTTTAGGATTGTGTGTTCTATTTCTGTGAAAAATGCCATTGGAATTTTAATGGATTGCATTGAATCTGAATATAGCTTTGGGTAGTATGGAAATTTATACAATATTAGTTCTTCCAATTCAGATCATGGAATATTTTTTCATTTATTTGTGTCTTCTTCCATTTCTTTCATTAGTGTCTTAATAGTTTTCAGGGTACAGATGTTTCACCTCCTTGGTTCATTTATTTTTAGGTATTTTATTCTTTTTGATGCAGTTGTAAATGAAATCTTTCTTAATTTCTCTTTCTGTTTTTTTTATTAGTGTTAATAATTAATTATTGACTTACTGAAGTTATAAATCCAAAACCTCATTGTTTCTAAAGCTAAATTTAGCTTACAGTTGTTTCATTTATTGGTCTAACAAATTCTAAAAACACATTAAGGGGCCTTTGACTAATGTTTTACAAGTATAAACACCATCAAGTTTTAAAAATGGAATTTGTATATTTAATAAATTTAATTTTTATCTAATCCAGCTTCCAGGCTGGCAAATTGTCCTATTTACTTAAGTACTTTTTGTAAATATAATAAGTTCAACTTGTTGATAACGTGAAATCTTAAGTTATTTTAAATGTTGTAATATTCTATTTTAAGATTTCAACTTTAAAATAACATTTCTAATCAATTATTGCATTACACATTGAAAAAGTGAAATTAGAAGACTGCTCTCTTATTCTAATAGGCCATATATTCTTTTAAATATTACAAATATATTTTAAAATCTAAAATTATAAACACTATATATTTTGATTCTCTTACACATTTCTATGTTAAAATTAAAATATTCACAAGACTAAAAGATGATTAACTTCTAAGCCAATAATTTTGGCATATCATGTTTTTTGGTTCACTTTTTTCCCCTTTTCTATTGAATTTATTGGGTGACACAGGTTAACAAAATTATACAGGTTTCATGTGCACAATTCCACAGCATATCACCTGTACACTGTATTGTATGTTCACCACCCCAAGTCAAGTCTCCTTCCATCACCATTTATCCCCCCTATACCCTCCACTACCTTCCTCCACCTCCCCCTCTCCTTGGCAATCACCACACTAAATTTTTGTGGTCTCTTCTGTTTGTGAAGTTATTTATTCATTTATTTTTAGATTATAGTAAAAAATACATAACATCAAATTTACTATCTTAATCATTAAAACTTTTTTAAATTATTAATTTGATTGAGAGAGAGAGAGAGAGAGAAAGAGAGAGAGAGAGAGTGAGAAAGATTGATTTGTTGTTCCACTTATTTATGCATTCATTGGCTGCTCCTTGTATGTGCCCTGACTGAGATTAAACCTGCAACCTTAGGGTATCGAAATGATGCTCTAACTGACTGAGCTACCCAGCCAGGGCCCATCTTAATAATTTTTTAGTGGTATTAAGTATATTCACATTGTTGTGCAATAGAGCTCTAGAACTTTTTCGTCTTTCAAAACTGAAAGCCCCCCTACCTTCCCTGTAGCCATTTACTTCTACTTTCTGTTTTGAGGATTTGACTACTTCAGCTATTGCATATTGCAGTTTTGACTACTGTAGAAATCATATGGTATTTGTCCTTTAATGACAAACTTAGTATAATATCCTCAACAACCTCATCCATGTTGCAGCATTTTGACAGGACTTCTTTTTTAGGGCTACATAATATTTCTTTGTATTTTCTGAAGTTTTTTAAATGCCAGAAAACACGGTCCTTGATTACTACCTCGATGGAACATACTGTGACCATTGTCTGTCTTAGACGCTGTATCTTCTATCACTGAGATTTAAGACATTATTTCCCAGTGCCATTTGTGTTTTCCTTTCAGTGACAGGAACAGGCTGGGGGATGAAGTGAGACTGATTAGTTTCTCAGAGAGCCACAGAAATGCTGATTAGAAACAACAGGTGGCAGTGGAGAGAGAAACTGGCTGATTTCAGGGCTGGTAAAGGAGACAGTTTGAGACTGGGACTTGAATAACACATGTCAGGGAGAGTCAGCAGAAGGCCCAGGCTCTTTGAAGCCCGTTACACTCACCAACATCATGGGGATTCATTCTCTCCTCACCCCAGAGTTCCACAGGTCTCCTTTCCTAAGAGTTCAACTGTTTTCAACTCTAGTGGTGGCCTGGAGCCAGGGCAACCTCCTGTCTTTTTCCACAACCCCCTACCATGAGCTCTGAGGAGAGAGGAACAGTCTCCGGTCCGGTGGCAGCCAGAGGAGCTGTAGGCAGTCTGAACTGAAACATGAATGCTCTGGTCCATGGGAAGGAGTTGAGACCCACTCTCATGATCTCCACAACAATATTCAATCTTTTTCAGCTCATGGCACAAAGGAACTAATTACTAAAATTCTGTGGCACATCAAAAAATATGTTTTTTTGCCGGTA